CCAAATTTAGGACCAGAAGAATGTTCTAAGAGTCCCAACTATGGCCATTAATTACCAACTAGTTAGATTTCACCCATGCAAAGTTGCAGCCACATTAAAAAGCAGCTCCTTAAAGCTGCTGCTACTGTTCGGGAATGTCATACCTTATTCATCGCCTGCCTTATTCAACCGCTTCTAAAACTGTACCAGAATTGCGGAGGTTGATGTGACGTCTACTTACGGCGGCCTCTTGGGCGCATTTGGGTCCTTCTTCTTCTTCCCGCCCTTCGCTGGACCGTAATCCTTCATTTCTCTATCATACCGTACTTTGTCGGCTTTTGCCATCTCATCAAACTTTCCTTTCTCTTTGGTTGACATGGTCTGAAAGACGAGAGAGAATAAATGAATCCTTCAAAAACCCAAAGGACGAGCAACACACTCCTCCAAGTGACGCCACCCAAGGAGGTAGAACCACAGTTCCAGAACAAGGGTGGTGGAGGGAAATCCTTCCGGTGGGATTTTTTTAGCTGCTTCTTCAGGTATCTCTCAAGCATCAGAAGACACCAACCAAGAATCCCAGACAATTCAGTCTTCAAAAGACAATATAGGGTATGTGGACACAAGGCCTACCCCATGGCGCTTTAAAAGCAGCCATACTCTGATGCTCTGATTTTGTAAGCTGCTAAAGAAGGAGCTTTTCTTCTGAACCTTCAGAGAAAATGCAGCTGTTTCAAAGTATGGAAGAAGGGGCTACTGCAGTTGTCTCCCACCTGCTCAAAAGAACTTTGGGAAGATCAGATGTGGAACTCCGCACATAAAGTCTCTCTCAAAGCCTGCTGAGATATCTTTAACCACTAGGCACAGGGATGGGGAACCTATGGCACGCGAAGTGGCACCCAGAGCCATCTCTCCAGGCACACCAGCTGTCGCTCTACCAGGTTCTGGCGCACACATGCGCATCGGCCATCTGGTCTTCACTCGTGCCGGAAGACCAGATGACTGGTGCGCATGTGCATGTCGGAAAGTGGGAGGTCAGCTTCCTGTTGTCCGCATGTGCGCCGGGGAACTGCTCTTCTGGTTTCCAGTGCTAACCCCGCGCACATGCATGCATGCGCTCCTGTTTTGGCACTCGGTGCCGGAAAGGTTCACTAACACTGCACTAGCAGTTGGGCTGACTTTCAACCAGGATCAATAAAATGCACTTTCTAGGAGTCCTAAAAAAAACCCACACCTATCTCTATGGTCTGGGTGATGTCAGCTACAGAGAGGATTTCCAAACCAGTCACCAGGAAATCTGTCTCTTTCCATCAAAACAAGCCAGCATACAACTAAGTTAGAGTTCCTCCTTTGCCACAAGGTCAAATTTGGTTTGCACTGAAGGGCCTGGTATTTTCAGAAATCATGGGTTGTGGCTAATGTGCTGTGTAAAGTTGGTTTAATATTGCTACATGATTTTCTCATCTTCAAAACAAACAGCGAGAACAGGGCTGTCCCATCGCAAACCCTAACTATGAATTCAGTCAAAATGAAGAACTGGAACAGAATAGAGCTGGAAGGGGCCTTGGAGGTCTTCTAGTCCAGCCCCCCCTGCTCAAGCAAGAGAGCTTATACTGTAAGAAAGCCACATAGTTATGGCATGGAGTCTTAAGCAATCTTCTTCAGAATTCTTGGAGGCGGCAAACTTTTGGCCAAGGCCCCATCTGGAATTTTGATGCCAAGTGGCAGTCGCCCTCCCAAAATGGTTGCCACAGGGGGGGCATAACCAACCACAAAGATATCCCAAAACTTCCCTCCTTATTTCTAGACTGAATCTCTCCTTGCTCACTTTCCATCCATTGTTCCTTATCTCGCCTTCAGGTGCCTTGGAAAACAGCTTGACCCCCTTCCTCCTCTCTGGGGCAGCCCCTCAAATATTGGAAGGCTGCTATCCTGTCTCCCCTGGTCCTTCTCTTCCCTAGACCAGCCAGGCCCAGTTCCTGCAACCGTTCATCGTATGTTTCAGCCTCCAGTCCCCTCATCATCTTGGTTGCTCTTCTCTGGTCATTTTGGTGGGCATAACCAACTACAAAGATACCCCCAAACTTCCTTCTGAACACAGTGCCCCTATCATGATTGACTCTACTGAAAACAGGAAGCTTTTTTTTAAAATTACGAGAAGCTAAAACAACCAAGAAAAGGGGATGTAGAATGTTGTCCGTGTGGATGCAAAATTCGAAATTTTATTTCACCGGAAGTCAGGCAGCATATCAATTTTAATGAGTTATGAATTATTTGCCCAACTATCACAGAGTTCTTTGGGGTAGCAGGTGTGAGGATGGGGTGGGGAGAGCACAAGGACATGTATTTTGGGGGACAAAGCATACCTTCCACCTCTCTGAACATTTCTTGGAAAACTCGGCGAAATTCACGGGAACCTCCGGATTTTTCTTCTTATGCTCTTCGCGGCAGGTCTGCACAAAAAACGCGTAAGCAGACATCTTTCCCTTCGGCTTCTTGGGGTCGCCTTTCGCCATTTTGAAACAAAACGCTTAAAAGCAAACAACAATCCAAGTTGAAAAACTGATCTTCCATCGCCCCACGCAGCCAAGCTCAAACACACAGCCCCTTCAATTGATTTGAGAAACGGGGAAATGCTTTTTAAAAGTTTGTTATATAAATAAAAAATGCATCCCCCCCCCTGAGAAATCCCCAACACATCCAACCCTTTAATACAGTGGTTCCCAAACTTGGCAACTTTAAGACTTGTGGACTTCAATTCCCAGAATTCTCCAGCCAGCTCTGCAGAGCTGGCTGGAGAATTCTGGGAATTGAAGTCCACAAGTCTTAAAGTTGCCAAGTTTGGGAACCACTGCTTTAATAGATCATTTATCCCTTTAAAAACCTATCATCCTCTTTTCTTTTCTTTTTTTATCTTATGGCATGCA